AATGGCTTGCAGGTCTCTGAGGACTGATGTATGAGTGAAGTACATCATTAAAGAGGGAGAGAGACTGAAGAAGCTCTGAGTTGGTAAAGGAGAAGTCACAGGGGACTCATATTTAGTAACATGGCAAAAGTGAGATCATAAACCAGAGCAACCAAAAGAAAGAAAGGAGAAAAGCACATGGTGCAGGACTGGACAGGTCCCAAGTGGCCAAGGAGAAAAGCTCAAAAGACTGCAGACCAAGTTTTGGCAGAAAAACACAGAAAAAGATCTGTTGTCTATTTTGATGGGCCCTTTGAAGTTTTCTGGATCTAATCTGATTTTTGCCTGTCATTCTTTGCCAAAAAAGATAAACCCTGCCAGGGAAAAACCCACCTTCCCTTATTCTCATATTAATACAAAAATAAATGGTCTGTTTTAAATATCAAACACTTAAAACACAGAACCTTTCTTCTATGATGTGTTGGAGAGTTCAATATTCGCAAGCTGTCATACTGGCCATTATAACAGACCAAAGTTGTTTCTGTACCTTGTACTTTATAAAATGATATCAGAATATAAGCCTTGGTCCTATTTCTACAATCGCACCAAAATCAACCCTCTGGCTCCATCCACACTTCACTGAACTGGATGACAGAGGCTTATTTACTAAAATGTCTGCATATAGGGGTGTTCAAAATATATTTTTGAAATTGTTTTGCTGATACTGAAAGTTTTCTGTTACTCTGTAGCAGTAATTTCTTTTAACAATGTCTAACATTGTATTACATTATGATGCCACAGTGTTATGAGCCTTTCTAGGCTGTCATCTAACACAGTCTTTAGGCATAACTTACTTTTAAACCTTTCCCTTGAATGATTTCAGTTCATTCTTTCAGGTGCCTTACTTCCATGCCTTGTTGGAAGGGGGACGCAGTCAAGAATACTGAAAATACTGAGCTGAAAACTACCATGTAATCACTACATCCTGATGGCTCAGCCTGCCACTGACACTAGTTCCCATTAAAATGACAGCATTTACTATGTATTACTCTAAGCAATATACTGAACATTTCACATCCATTTGCAAATAATACATTGAAGTGCCCAAATCCCATTCTGCCATTGCTACTGGCAGCTGTTTTTTCACAGTGGCATTCATAGGAGTGGCATTTATTCATTGTTAGCTAAGTAGCAAATCTGGAGTTAAAGTATGTGTTAATTCAGAATAGAAATAAAGGAACTGGTCAAGACAAACAGCAAATGGGAACTTCACTTACAAGATGGCAAATACACCTTCAAAATTGTGACACCAACACTTTAAAGGCTGTGTTCTCCTCCCAGCACAACGTGTTCTAAACAGCTTTAAACATCCATGTGTTTTACATTAAAATACATTGTCTTACCTGCTTGGGTCTCTTGTATTATCCCAAATAAACTTTGCCATCCCTACACAAACTCCTGCTGCTTATCCAAATACAGTTCTTGTCTTCCCAGCTGCACAATCCTAGACTTCTGTTCAATAATGGCATCAGCCATTTATTTGGGCATGTTCTTATTTTATTGAGGTCATTCCAGACTTTTTCTCTGCTCTCTACAGTTGCATTAACAGCTTCCTTCCTATTTTTAAATCAGTAGCTAATTTCAGCAACTAAGTGCCTATTGTTTCTTCAGGGTCACTCATAAAACAAACACCATTATTGATCTTTCTGAATCTACCACTAGTTTTCCCTTTTATCTCATCTGAGTGACTATTCAAGGGGCAATTTCTCAATAAACCAGGACATTTATCCTAGATAAACTAGGATATCTGAAGGAAGAGATTTTTCTGTTCATGTGTGCTAATACAGCTCCTATCACAGCAGCATCAAAGAAACTCATAAACCTTAGGGATTTTGTCTCCACAACACCTTTTTAAAGGGACAAGAGTTGTTAACTGTCTTTTACAAACAAGGAAGTGAGACACAGGAGGATTTAGTGCTTCAAAGGCAAAGACCACTCATCAAATGTACAACAAATTAAATTCTTATTTTCTACATTTTAACCACAATGGCATCTTCCCTCTATTTTTGCATGCTCTCTGCATACACAATTGTTTACTTCTTGGATTGGTGACCTGGCCGGTTTGTGTTTATTCTGCATTTTTGATGAGCATCTGAAGATAACAGACATCACAGACAAAGATAAAAACTACATTAACCAAACTGTATTTCCTTTACCATTATTATTAAAGTTCAATACAATTCTAAACCCATTTGTTGTCCTCCAGTCAAGCTAAAGGAAATTTTGGCTTTGCACAAGAAAATGTGATACCAAAAAGCAAAGCAGCCCTTCCAGGTAATAAGACCTAGGTGACCTCTTTTCAGTCATCAGGTATCTGATCATTATTGTTTTGGCCAAGTGTGGCAAATCCAGTCCTTCTCAAATGAATTTTAGACCAATCCACAAAGAAACATTAAATGCAATTTGACTGCTAGAGCACTCCATCAGTTATAAGACACAATTTTCCAATGGTGCCCTGGCATTTCATCACTATTTTGCCACTTTCTGCATCTTTTCCTCTCTTTACTCATAGGGATAGTTTGTCAGGTTTGTTATCACTGATGACTGGGTCAACACAGCTCCAAAGAGAGGGGTGGGAGGCTGAGGCAGGAGTTGAGAGGGTTTGTCTGCAGTGCTGTGGCACGTGGAGCTGGCTGAGCCCACAGGCACCATCCCTGGGAGGGACAGGAGTCACTGAGCTGGGGCAGGTCTGCATCCTGCTGCTGGAGCCTCTGGGATCTGAGGAACCTCCTCTGCACGACACTACCCATGTGCACAAAAATGCACGGCTGACTCTGAGCCAGGTCAGTAATGTCTGCGTTTCATTAAAGGGCAGGCAGATCACTTCTGTCCTGCTCCAACACTTCACAGGTTTATTAAACACTGTCTAAGAAGTTTGTCCCCAGACAGGAAATTCGTGCCAAAGGTCTCATTGATGCCAAACACCACTTGGTAGGGGCAATAACACTGCCATTTAAATGTATTGTTACTCACATTACTAAAGCTACTATATTAGCATGAAATATAGAAGTTTTTATGAGAATACAAAGATCAAACACACTAATTGCATAATGAATAGAGAAGTAGCTAGCAACCACTCAAAGATCTGGAAGCAAGTGAATCCCCTGGATAAAAGGCATTCAGTTAATCAGAAGTATCTGAGTTGCTTCTCAACTCAAATAGTTCTTTGCTTCTTATTTGTATGCCATAATGTCTTCCGAGAAGCAAAATAAAGACTAATGTTCTCACTAGGTTTTGCCTTCATTGAACAAAGTGTGCATCAGGCAAAACTTGGCAACCAAGATGATGAAAAGTCCTAGCAAAGATGGCCTGAACTGTAATTTTAACTTGGTTCAGGCAGACATCAGCCAGATCTACCATGAAGTTGTATGTAAAGGCATCACAAGTCACAGGAGCACATTCTGGGCACACTCTGCTGAGCCAACACCCAGCACTAATGCCCCCCTCTCCTGACAGCTCTCTTCCTACCTGGTGGTGGATTCTGGGCTTCTACCTCTACTTGCTAAGTCATGTTAAAACTAGAGACTGCTTTGTCTTCACTTGAACTTTACATCCTGTTAGTCTGCACAAAGGAAGTGAGTTCTGTGAACAGCACACCTATTTTTTCCTAGTCAAGATGTACTTGTTGGATATTATTGCCATTCAGGTGCCTATTTAGTAAGCCAGTCAAAAGCTATGACCAGCTGCATAGCATATAATGATTTTTTGAAAGGAAAGAAAATGCCATTAAAACAAAAGGCCCTGTTCTGCTTCTGAGTAAACAAATGGGAGTTTTACAAAGGCTCAAAAAGGAAAGGGATTAACATGCTTCAACGTGGTAATGGTCTCAACTGTTCACATTAAAATTTTCACAGTAAATTAAACCATGACAGAGGTAGGAAAGAAGTCAATTTTCAGTGGCTCATGCTGTTCTGCTGACATAAATTGCCATTTTTTAGGTAGTATATCCACCAACCTGTATAATGATAGAATTACAAAACCACAACCCGTTGTTGATTATGTTCGGCCTTTTGCATGCTAATTTTAGCCTGCTCTGCCAAAATAATTGCATGCACCACCTCATTACCAGGCTTCTGGATATTTAGAACCCTATTGCTATTCTTTTTTCACCGACCTTTGCTTAAGCCTGCTGTGTTGGCCTTCCCTCCTTGTACGGTGTCTGCTGCTCAACAACACTTGTGCTTCCCAGCTCTGCCCAGGACACCTTTCCAGCACTTACACCCATCCCTTCCCAGGGCTGTCTTGCCAAGGCTAATGCTAAATGCTGTCCATCTCTACCCTGCTCATCCATGTTCCCCTGCAGGTTGCACACAACTCTTCACTATCTTCACGCTCTTTACAGTCTACAAAGCACAGCAACTTTGCTTGACAGGCGAATGATGGCATGAAGCACTACCCAATCATCCCAGCAAGGCCGGGGAAGACAAGTAAATACAGACTCACTGGTTGATGCCTGCCAAGAGTTCCCACAACACGTGTTCCTCAGTGAGTTTACACAACAGTGGCCAAAGAGGAGGGAAAGGACAGGCCACGCAAGTGTGCCAGCACCAGACCCCCCATGGAAAGCTGTGCCCTGCGTTATTGTAGCAGCACCAGAAATGGATGTTCAAGTACAATCAGCGCTTATCTGACCGTCAAATGACCACGGTGCCTTTGCATCTCAGTTGTATGAAGGCAGTGTAAAACAAAAAATGACAAAGGCCTGTGAAAGAAAGTCAACCCAGCAAAGGGCAAGATGCGGGAGACCCAAAAAGCCTGGCGGGGCTGGGGGCTGCCACAGAGCCAGACCCGATTCGCCTCACCAGGCTCCCCGCCGCCCGGGGCACACGCACAGCCCGGCCCCGGGCCTCGCCCCCTGCAGACCTGTCCCTGCCCGGGCCGTGCCGCTCCCCGCGGGTGCCGGGCCCGGCCCGCGGCGCTGTCC